ATGAACCACGAGACATATTGTTATCAAAAGCCTGAATATCGCATGAATCACAATAACAACGAACATGCATCACACAGAAAAACAAAAGATAATGAGGGTTCAACATGGGTCAATACAAGCTGAAAACAACGAGACGATTCCCCATTACCAACAGAATACTTCTACTCAAATTATATTAGAAGAATTCTAGTAAAAGACAACACTACAACCTATCAGAATACTACCAATGGGGAAAGAACTTGGTATCTGGTTTCGCTCAAGTAAAAAAATAAAAAATAAAACAAAACCTCCAGAACTATATAGCAAAGCACGTGATCCCAAAGTTGACTGATCCATCATTGCATTTTTTGCACAGTTCAATAAACTATCCATCCTTCACTCCATAAAAAAAATTCAAGCATCAAAAACCAATGAGTGATTTATGACGACAACAACAATATTAATTTTAACAGCTAATTGGTCAATTAAATTGCAACAAAAATAAGTGCACAAGAACCAAATTGAAAATTTGCAGCCATCTTAACCCAACATAGGCATCAAATAACCACAAAAGTTGGAAAAAGAAAACTAAAACAAAAAGTCTGAACAAAGGGAAAAAAAAAAATGAAGTTGGTTCCAAGCTTTCTCAAGAGTGTTTTCACCGTGTTCCACAATTCACACCAACGCCACACCACTAATGATTTCCCAGCAAAAAAAATTGGTGAACCATCCCCTCCTTCAACCATAACAATGCGAACACCCCGCCTCGCTGCCTCTAAACCAAACCATAACTGCTATAAGCCACCTTAACAAAACCAATAAAATTTAGAAATCAATACATAACTGAACCACCACCACCACCACCACCGCGTAGCCGCCTCCAACAAGAAATCAAAAAACGAAAAGGGAACATGCATACATAAATCGAAACGCTGAAGAAGAAGACACCTTACCTCGCCAAGACCTCCTGTTGATAGCAGCCGGTGAAGAACAATGGGAGTGAGAAACGTGCGTCTGACAAAGTATAATTTACGTTGAAGATAAGTTNCAAGATAACTATGTCTTGATCTTGTAACATTCAAAGTCTAAGAAACATATTCACACTATACACAGAGTTAGTGATCCTCGTAAGGCAACGCATTATTAGGCCATGCGTTGATCCCATTTAGCGAGTACACTAGAGTTTTATTGAAAAACCCGTAGGAAGCGACCCTTACCTCCATACTCACAAAGGCAGNGGTGGTATTAAAATACTTCCATAATACAAGTGTGATGTATAAAAAACATACGATTAGAATACGCTTTTGAAGTTAACACAAACTCAAAATTACTTGTCAAACAAAGTATCAGGTCTGATTAAATAAAAAATAATGCAATTTAATATTTAATCCCCTTATAATACGTCTATCAAACGAGCCCTATATCAACAACCTCTATTCTTGACAACTCAACTCAGCCTTGTCTCTCAACATTTTTGGGGTCGACTCTATGAATCATATTTCGCCATCGTAACAACCTCTGTTCCTGACAACTCGCCTAAATGCCCAATCATTATCTGCTGTCAAATCAGACAAAATTAAGGCTGTCAGCGGTCTAAGATAAGACGCATGAACAAGAATCACTCGTAAATGCATTGCACCCCTGAAAAATCCACAGCAAAAATGCACCGTAGTGTATGGCATATTAGTGATCAAACAGAGGGCCAAAAATGGGAATAAAGCCACCAGGTCAAACAATAACTTTGTTAGCAAGAAGAAATTAGTAAAGTTACCGAGGTATTGATAGTAAGTGTTGACAGTCTCCATGGGACTNCTAATTCATGAGTAGATTCAAAAACACTAGGGCTCGTTTAGTTGCCATATTATAAATGAACGGATTAGATAAAGTAATACAAGCTAATACAATACAAATTGATAAAATACAAGATTAGATGGGATATTAGAATAATATGTAAAAGTGCTACCGCGTTGAATTTTTAATCCATTTCACCTAGTTACTGCATCACGAAGAACCCTAGAATCTGCAGTTGACCCCTCCCAACCAGGCAAGACATAAATGAATTGCATGTCTTGGGAACAAACCCCTAATACATTGGTTGAGATAGCTCCTTTTCTTGATCTATATCTCGGTTTGTCAATCTCAGGTACTTTAAGTTCTATGTAGGTACCATTTAACGCCCCGACACAATTCTAAAGTTAAATAAAAATAAAATCAGATTGACTAAGTGATAAGTCAATTTATTAAGGTAAAAAATAGATTAGTTCACATAATAAAGTACTTTAAACCATTTCCACCTAGGGTCTGTGGAATTTTCCAAAACAGGTTCTAGTTTCTTAAGCAGTAAGCCTTGAACTTTTAATACTGCAATCAACATTGCATTGAAGTGTCTACTGATAGTCTCTCCCGATCTACGAAAATTACACTTAATGATCCTATTTTTTGTATAGTGAGCTAATATACTAAGGAACGTGACAACCATTTCCTCCACACTCACAAATTTAGAGTCATTAAGACCTTCATTGTTACGAAGAAAATCACAAAGAATCTTGAATGTACGTCTATCCATCCTAAGTTGTTGAAAATAAGGTAAATCACCATCTCCTATTAATTTAGTAAGATTTTCCATCTGTGCCGCAACCCTACGTCCTAAACGAGGGTATTCTAACCAATTTATAGAACACCTAGCACGTTCTAATTTATTAAATATATGAACCACGAGACATATTGTTATCAAAAGCCTGAATATCGCATGAATCACAATAACAACGAACATGCATCACACAGAAAAACAAAAGATAATGAGGGTTCAACATGGGTCAATACAAGCTGAAAACAACGAGACGATTCCCCATTACCAACAGAATACTTCTACTCAAATTATATTAGAAGAATTCTAGTAAAAGACAACACTACAACCTATCAGAATACTACCAATGGGGAAAGAACTTGGTATCTGGTTTCGCTCAAGTAAAAAAATAAAAAATAAAACAAAACCTCCAGAACTATATAGCAAAGCACGTGATCCCAAAGTTGACTGATCCATCATTGCATTTTTTGCACAGTTCAATAAACTATCCATCCTTCACTCCATAAAAAAAATTCAAGCATCAAAAACCAATGAGTGATTTATGACGACAACAACAATATTAATTTTAACAGCTAATTGGTCAATTAAATTGCAACAAAAATAAGTGCACAAGAACCAAATTGAAAATTTGCAGCCATCTTAACCCAACATAGGCATCAAATAACCACAAAAGTTGGAAAAAGAAAACTAAAACAAAAAGTCTGAACAAAGGGAAAAAAAAAAATGAAGTTGGTTCCAAGCTTTCTCAAGAGTGTTTTCACCGTGTTCCACAATTCACACCAACGCCACACCACTAATGATTTCCCAGCAAAAAAAATTGGTGAACCATCCCCTCTTTCAACCATAACGATGCGAACACCCCGCCTCGCTGCCTCTAAACCAAACCATAACTGCTATAAGCCACCTTAACCAAACCAATAAAATTTAGAAATCAATACATAACTGAACCACCACCACCACCGCGTAGCCGCCTCCAACAAGAAATCAAAAAACGAAAAGGAAACATGCATACATAAATCGAAACGCTGAAGAAGAAGACACCTTACCTCACCAAGACCTCCTGTTGATAGCAGCCGGTGAAGAACAATGGGAGTGAGAAACGTGCGTCTGACAAAGTATAATTTACGTTGAAGATAAGTTGATTTTATTAGATATAGATATGGGGGTTATAATAGTAATTTTGTAAAATAATACATTGAGGTGGATTATAATACTACCTCTTTTGATGATATTAAAATACTTCCATAATACAAGTGTGATGTATAAAAAACATACGATTAGAATACGCTTTTGAAGTTAATACAAACTCAAAATTACTTGCCAAACAAAGTATCAGGTCTGATTAAATAAAAAATAATGCAATTTAATATTTAATCCCCTTATATCTATCAAACGAGCCCTATATCAACAACCTCTATTCTTGACAACTCAACTCAGCCTTGTCTCTCAACATTTTTGGGGTCGGCTCTATGAATCATATTTCGCCATCGTAACAACCTCTGTTCCTGACAACTCGCCTAAATGCCCAATCATTATCTGCTGTAAACTCGGACAAAATTAAGGCTGTCAGCGGTCTAAGATAAGACGCATGAACAAGAATCACTCGTAAATGCATTGCACCACTGAAAAATCCACAGCAAAAATGCACCGTAGTTTATGGCATATTAGTGATCAAACAGAGGGCCAAAAATGGGAATAAAGCCACCAGGTCAAACAATAACTTTGTTAGCAAGAAGAAATTAGTAAAGTTACCGAGGTATTGATAGTAAGTGTTGACAGTCTCCATGGGACTGTTGTTTCCACTGATCCAAGGAAATTAGTAAAAAGCTAATGTCGACTGTCTCCACGGGACTGATCCAACTCTACAACTTTATCTTACCAGGTCCAACAAGAAAAATCAAAGAAAGGTAACCTAGAGTTGAACTTAAAATGAAGAAATATAAGAAACGATAGAAGGAAAAAAGAAAGGAAAGTCTCTGAATACAAGATAGTGTTGCCCCCACAAGAGATGAAGGAAGAATTAGGACATCATATTCAATATAGCAGCCATTTATTTTTCTCTTCCTCCATTCTGCCGACCAACTCAGGACAATTGAATGATAAGGAGAATCTTTGGATATAGATCATGTAATAATTTGGACAAATAGGACCTAACACCAGAAGGCCGAATTCTGCTTCAAGAATGTCATAGTCTAATGCTGTCTTTATAAACAATATGCTACAATCTTCAATCTTACAAAAGAAAAGCAATGATCTCAGTTTGGAAGTCACCCATCCTGGTCCTTTGAGAAGGACGATAATGTGAATTCCTTTTTTATGCCAACAAAAATTTCCACAACACGAACCACGTTCTTCTTCCCCAAAATCCCAGCTTTCAGACCTACAGAGGAGTTAACATTGTCGTCCAACTAAAAGTAGGTTTTCATATTTTCTCCTCCATGGCACTCAAATCCACACCTTGCCCTCATAAAACAAATAGTTTGCAACTCTTATTTCACATCAGGTACTAGTCTAAAAGATTATGAGTTGCTGCTTTATTGGGTTGGGAGAGAACACCAAAGTCTAAACAGCAATTTGGCACACTGGTAGCCAAAGAATTGAGGTGTAACCATCAGAACAAAGTCATATCAATGTACTACCAACACTCTTATATCATGCAGCCAAAGAGATGCATTATATTTCGTCATCAGAAGCAGCAGATAATCTCACAAATTAAAGTTGTGGTTCTCAATTTTTTCCCAGAAAGCAATTGTTCTATGACCGACACCTGATGTCAAACTCTTAATTGGTACGGTGACTTCACAAGAATCCGTCACTTTTATTATCAAATAAAAACCTACACATGCTACTCGAATTTCTATTGCATTCCCTCATTTCTTCTCTCCTACATAATTCTCATTTGCACCTTAATTCATATTTCGTTTCATTATATTCAAACATTCAAAAACGAAACAAGATATTAGTAAGACTGAAATAAATTATATTTATGGCCAAATTTTCCATATATAAACTAAATATCAAAGAAAACAAATCTATGTTTACCTTAATTATCAGGAGGAAAAAAGTATTTACCTCGACAGGATTATCAACTTACATTCAGACTCTATTTCACATGAACAAAGAAACCAAAGAAGCAGTAGTACATCCTTTCAAATTATGAATACCCAACGGGAACTATTCCCTCCAACCAATAGTAAGCAACTCAGGAGGAAGTGAAGCAGGATCAAGCTCCCAACAATCTTTGGGAAGTTCTGAGGCCTCTTCACCAGAAAGCTTCCTTGAAGGAATCTGATGAGAAAACAACTGAGCATCATCTTTTTCAAGCCATCTTATAGCATGACAGCCAATCTCTTTCCTTTTGAAAACCGTCTTATAGCCATCTACCTTCTCAAGGTACGCCATGCTCAACCCATGTATCTCACTGTAACTCGTTAAAAATATAACAATATCGTAACACCTCTTATCCTTATTCGATGGGTTCCTTTCTCCAGGATCCAAGGAATTTTCATTATAAAGCGCCCAAACCGATCCCTTCTTAGGATAAATTCTATACACCTCCCTTGCCGCTCTTTCACAATCAACAATATGTGAAAACATCTTTACAGAATTTACAGCAGTCTCCCTAGAAACCTTAAACCTTCCACAAGAAATATGAAACCCCATTTTCTCCCGACAAATCAACCCTTCATCCCCATTGTTTTGGAAGTCCAACCAAAACATTTTCACCTCAAACGGATACACTGAAACCACTGCATCAATCAAAGCATAATGCCTTGGCATTCCATCATCATCGTCATAAATAGCCCAAACTTGCCCTTTCTTAAAGTTCCTCTCCATTCTACCCTTATCAAAATCATAGAAATCCGAATCCTCTACCACCATGATATCCAAATTCCCACTCAAAGCCCTTTGTCTCTCAATTTCCAAAGTCCTACTCTTTGAAGCCCTTCGTCTATATGTTACCAAATTCTCACCCTTCGAAACTGTGAGCCTCTCACTCCTCTCCTTCACCTTCTCCTTCTCATTTTCTCTCTCCTCCTTTAACTTCAACTTCATCTTTTCCTCACTCACTTTCTTCTTCGCCAACATTTGCATTTCAGCTAAGGTCATCATTTCTTCACCAACCTTGGCTCTCTTCGACGCTGACTTGTCCAAAACCTCAACCCCAACAATCTTTCCCTCTTCCTTACCCCCCAATCTCAGTCTCGGAACCCCCACAGACACACCAGCACCACTACTCAAACCCCCATTTGCATACCCATTATGCATCCGCTCAACCCTCTTTGATTTTGACCTCAATCCTGCAATCACAGCACCTAAATCCCCATTTGCATCCAAATCTCTCGACGTTTGTACCCTTGACCTCTCCAAAACCTCCCCAACACTACTCATTCTTTGCTTCACCTCCACATTTCTCACTCCTCCACTACTTCTAACCCTCATCCTAGCACTAACTCTTGTTTTAACCTTTTCAACCTCAACCCTACCTTCCTCACCATCCTCCACCTCCAAACCCTCTACATTCTTTGAAACATTTTCTGAAACCTCTAAGGCCTTAAAACTCTTTTTACAACTAGGACACATCAAATTGTGCCCCAAATACTTCCTTTCAAACTGATGCAACAACCGGCACATCGAACACGCCGTCCAAAACGTCTCCACAGGCCCCATTTCCCCTACAACCTTTTCCTGCATCGCAATCCTCAGCTTCATATCATACTCCTTCCTCCGAATCTTATCCGACAAAACCCTAAACGCTTCACCAACAAGCTTAAACGCCTCTTCGGAAGCCACAAACGGGTTCTTATCGGGGTGTAAGGTCAAAGCCAGTTTCTTGTACTGTTTCTTGATCGTGTTAATGTGAGAGAATGGTTCAATTTGGAGAATTTTGTAATAGTCCGGGGTGTTTCTAACGCCGCCGTCGATGGTGGTGGTGATATTGGTGGGTTTGGTCGCGGTGCGGAGGATTTTGAAGGCGGTGAGCATTTCGGGGAGGCCATCGACGGTGGGGTGGAGACGGTGGGCCCGTTTGGCGTATTTTAGGGCGGATTTGAGGTTGGAGGAGCTGTATTTTTGCTCAGCTAGGGTTTTCAAACGGACAGCTTCGGCTTGGTCTTGATCGTTCTTGTCGTCGGCCATTTTTGGAACTGAAAGTGAGTGTGGAGTGATGGCTGATTGGGAAAACTAGGGTTCTGTAATTGGGGAAGATAATCTGCTTACTCGGGTCGGTTTNGAAAAAAAAAAATGAAGTTGGTTCCAAGCTTTCTCAAGAGTGTTTTCACCGTGTTCCACAATTCACACCAACGCCACACCACTAANTGGTTCGGGTCTTCCCAAGAAAATGACACCCACTACGAGTGTAAGTTGGACAGACTAAACCCAAACTCAGCCCCCCAAAATTGGATTCCGATTGAGACTTCGAATTCACGGGTTCAACATCAACTCAACTCAAATTACTAAAATCGGGTTCAACTCGATTTCACCATTCAAATTCAACTCAAAATTAAAATAAATACATATATACATAAAATTTAAGTATATTTTAGGTTTTTATTTAATTTATTTTTAAATTAAGTTGCCCAAATTATTGTCATGCCCAAAATTGAATACAAAATTATGAATCGGAATTCAACCCGATTTTATGAGGCCGATTTGAACCTAAATTAGTTAACTCAAACCCACCCCAATTGAGCCTAAAATTAATTTTTGTAATACTCGAGTTGATTATCTCAGGTTAGAAGTCGATACTCGAATTGAATTAGAGTTACAAATTTTACAACTTAGATATTAATTTCTTTTTGTTTTTTTGCTGGTAGTTTCTTAATTTCTTTTATTTTTGGGGTTGATGCAATAAGGACAAATAAGAACATAATTTTTTTTAACTTCTGTTTTACCCAATTGGAGTTAGAATGATAGGAAATTTATAATTTCATAGTTATTGTATGTGCCTAAAAGCACAAAGTAATAAAAAATGGTAAATAATATATATATTTGTATTCATATATAAAATCAAATCACAAACATAGAGAAGAGATAAATAAATTTAACCATCGATTTGTAGTGTCGGTAAGAGATGGTGGATGACAGTGNTTATAGGAAATTTATAATTTCATAGTTATTGTCTGTGCCTAAAAGTACAAAGTAATAAAAAATGGTAAATAATATATATATTTGTATTCATATATAAAATCAAATCACAAACATAGAGAAGAGATAAATAAATTTAACCATCGATTTGTAGTGTCGGTAAGAGATGGTGGATGACAGTGGTGGTGGTAGGAGACGGTGGTGATAATGGCAACGACGACGATGATGGTGGTGACGAGAGCAGCCATTCTAGTGACTGCGGCGACAATGGTGGTGGTGGCGATGGAGGCGGTGGTGGCGGCNGGCAGTGGTGGTGGTAGGAGACGGTGGTGATAATAGCAACGACGACGATGATGGTGGTGACGAGAGCAGCGATTCTAGTGACTGCGGCGACAATGGTGGTGGTGGCGATGGAGGCGGTGGTGGCGGCAGTGGAGACGGTGTTGGCGATGGGTGATGGGGCCAGTGGTGGTGGGGGTTGGCAATGGGGGTAGGGGTGGTGGTGGTGGTGGCGACGACAATGGCAACGGTGATGATAATGGTGGTGGTAGTGGTAGTGGTGAGACGATTTCAAACACTATTTTTTTTTTAAAGTATTTATGAGAAATAATTTGTATAAATACTTTTAAAAAGTCATTTCAAACACACCTTTAAAGTCCCTATTTTTCCTATTAAATTTAGGGTATTAATATTAGCTGTTAAATTAACTTTAAAATAAAATTTAAAATGATTTCAACCACGAATAGCAAAAGTTATTTTGTTTATCTTTCAAAATTTAAATTATAAGTTATTTTATTACATAGATATTATTTTGCGAGGGCTATGAGTTACCACAATATAATTTCACTAATTTTTAATTACTATTTTGTGAACCTTCATTTTGTTTGTGGTTTGGATTTACTTGGACTTACAAGATTTTGCAAACTTTTTTCTTAAATCTCATTTGCAATTGACTATAATATTCGTGCTACATTTTTTTCATATTCCTCTGATATTTATATAATAAAATACAATATAATTCAAATTTCAAAAGATAAATAAAATAATTTTTATTTTTTGTAATTGAAATCTCTTTAAACTTTATTTTAGAGTTAATCCAATAGTTAATATTAATACTCAAAATTTAATAGAAAAAATAGATCCCTAAAACTATATTTGAGGTAATTTTTTAAAATTACTTATAAGACTTATAACTTATCGTAAATACTTAAAAAAAAAAATTGTGTTTTGAACTATCTAATTGTTTCGATCAAGTCATTCTATTTGGATTTGTAGCAGAAGGATGTGGAATGTGCTGGTCACGTGCCTTCTTTAGGGACGTTTTAGGCAACACCAATTAAAGACATGAGTAAATTACGTATTTGGCCCTCACACTATGATTCCTTGTGTCAATTAAACTCATGAACTTTTTTTGAGTCAATTTAGTCCCTAAACTATATAATTAAACCCCTAAACTATGATCCATATATTTATTTTTTAATTAATGGTGACAAATATAACTAAACTAGAATCAACGACTTTAAATCAATTATCAGTATGGCATCTCTATGGTTTCATAACCTTATCCCCGATTGACTATTATTCTCATTATTATGTGGTGACGGGGCCCTAATGAAGTAAGCATATATGTAAACAACTTGAAACGATAACAAAGCTTATTAATTTGACTTCAAATCTTCTTAATTTCTCATTGACAACATAAAAAAGGCATCACTCGACATCTTTGTCTTTTTAAAAAATGTTTTGTTATTTAAATTTGTAATCTAAATTTGAATCTCCAAATCAACAAAGATGGTTGGATCAGTAGGTCTTGTCAGAAAAAGTTATTGGGATCTACTGATCCAACCATCCTTGTTGATTTGATATGCAAATTTGAGTTACAAATTTGGAATGTGTAACATTATTTTGTCTTTTTTACCATTAGATAGTTTAGGGATTTAATAGAATCAAAAATAAAAAGATTGAGGCCTTAATTAACCCAAGGGTCATAATTTGAAGGCTAAATTTGTAATTTACTCATATCTTTAATTGGGTTGCCTAAAACGCCCCTAAAGAAGGCACAAACATACTTCACAACCTTTCGTCAGAAATCCTAACAGAAGAGCTTGATTAAAACAATTAAATAGTTTAAGAACCTAATTAACTCAAAAAAGAGTTAAAGTGTTTAATTGACACAAGGATAATAATTTGAAGACCAAATACGTAAATTACTCTATTTTTTTCCGATGTTATGAACTCAATCATTAATTCAAAAGTTTCAAGACTTGTGTGGGTTATAGCTCATACCTATTTAAACGTAATATATCACTACGTCCTAGAGAAGAGGCCCACGACAACCCACTATATCGACAATAGTTCAAAGATAGTCCTTTCTCTTTGACAACTTAACTTACTTATCAGCATTCAACATGATACTAATTATTTTGCATTTAACCGTTCGTCCAAAAACTAAAGGACTTGTCGGAATTAAAACTCATAATTTTTCGAACATAACAACATATCATTCAGTATTAATTCATTTTTACCCAAAAAAAAATTATTTTTTAACAAAAGTATGTTGTTTTTTTTTCTTTTTTTCCCAACTTTTAAACTAGTAGTGAAATTATGCATACAAAAAGTTATTTTAATTTTCTCAGAATTTTTGGAAGTTTTTCAAAAATTAACATTTTTTAACTTTCTATACAGCTATCACACGTGAAAGTCCTATACATCGGCAGATTTCCAGCCGTCGAAAACATTTGACGAGTCGATCTAACCTCCAACAATCAACCAATAGAGAGAGAGAGAGAGAGAGAGAGTATACACTTCCTCTCCTCACCTGCAATTGCCAGAGACAACGACACTCCATGTCGACGATCTCACATACAATGCCCTGACTATATTTTATCCCTCCAAATCTGCGCAGTATTTGCTTTCTTTCCTCTGGAATTCACTCTCTGATTGCCTATTTTTCGAATTTGTGCTTGCTTGATTTCGGCTCAGGAGCTGTGTGGTTCTGAGTTGACTCACTGGTTCAGATTTACCGAGTTCCTACTGGTTTGACGGTATGAAATCATCGGATTCAAGTCTTTTTAAGATTTGTGGTTGTTTGTCTGTATATCGAACTTTCATTAACTTCCTAAGGATTTTGAGTGGTTAATTACACACACAAATGAGAGACTTTTAGATATAGATTTAGATAGAGAAATCGTAATTGGTTTAATATTTGGTAAATTTGTCTCTTGGTTGAAATTGAGCGGAAGATAGTTGTTGCATGAAATTGATTTGATTGAATGTTTATGAGACTGATGGAGTGTTAAATTTTATTATGGGTATCTAAAGAATCATGTGTATTTGTATCTAAGGCATTTTTTTGGGTGGAACAAGATTAAAAATGCAGCCGATCCCGAGACAAGTTTTGTTTTTTTGAGTAGAGTTCGATTAAGGCTTTGTAGTGTTTTTGATGTGTTGCATTGGAATAAAACGAAGTTTGTGCTTGCAAGCATGTAATTCATACCTTGGAAATGGGATTGGGGGGGAGTTTAACAATTCTGGTCTCATGGCACGCCTCAAATTCCATGCTTTCAAATACAGTACAAGTGTAGGGGTTGGACTTAATTCAGATACTAGGAAATAACTCAGTGCATATGTTACAGCATGGTTTGGGAATTTGTGAGAAGGTGGTGCAGGTGAATTATGGGGGGTAGTGGCATGGATAAAACAACTAAGGATTTGAAGGAGGCAAAGGAGGCAAAGACTCCTACGTCACAGGTGCACCCATGTTTTCTTGAATTGGTGTTTGGGCATGTTGGTTATATGGGTAACTTGTCATTGGTAATTTTCATATTTCTTTATTGCTCAGGAGCAGGCTTCATCAACTAGTGCTGGTGTGGTTAATCCAGACTGGTCTGGGTTCCAGGTTCCATTTTTACGTCTTACCCACTTTGTGTTTTCAGTTCATTACAAATTCTAGTGGCATTGTCCATCTCACATTGATTGTCTTTGTAGGCTTACTCTCCAATGCCTCCTCATGGGTTCTTGGCATCAAGCCCTCAAGCTCACCCATATATGTGGGGAGTTCAGGTATAATATTTTTGCTTTTGGAATTCTTTTTGATGCTATTAGCAGCATATAGGAGTTGGAAACCACTTATCAAATTTTAGTTTATGTGTGTGTTGTGGCCTCTTTATGTGCAAAAAGTTATGGCTTTTGAGTTTGGCAAAATAGAGACAATGAAATAGCTGTAGATGTACATTAACATTCATACCTGTGAATAGGGATGGTAGTGGACCAGGGCGGGGGTGGGGGGAGTAGTCTCCACCCCCGTACCTACTTCAAAAATATTCCTTCATCCCTGGTCCACCCCCATTGGAGGCGAAAATTTTAATTCCCATCCCCGCCCCGCGAGTAAATTTTGATCCCCATACTCGTCCCCGCCATTTGCTCCGTCCATAACAATTAATTTCTATGATTTTAAGAAAACAATTGAAAAAAAAAACCATAAAACCTCACAAATAGTTCTGTAAGAAGGATTAAACCCCATTATATAACAAATTGATAAAAAAAAGAAGAGAAAACTGTTTTGGTAAAAAGAAGAGTGGGTGGGTGGGGTTTGTGATATTATATATATGTATTAATAAGTGGGTGGGAGGGTGGTTAGGGTTTGTATCTTTGTAATATTATATATATATATATATATATAT